GCCATCGATGTCTGTGGCCATATCGAGCCGTCTTGGAACGGTCTTGGGGCCTCTTGGAGCATCTTTGGAGTCTTCTTGAGCCAGCTTGGGCTATCTTGAACCATCTTGGAGGTCATCTTGGGCTCTCTGAGGCCGCTCGGGGGCCTCCTGGGTGCCTCTCGGGTGACTTTTGGAGGCTTCTTGGGGCCTCTTGGGGCGCTCTTGGAGCCCTTTCGGAGCCTCTTGGGAACCCTGGCGGGGCCTCTGGGGGCCATCTTGCAGGCGGTCGGTCAAACGAAGGTGGCCCTAAATGTAGTTCCCCTTCTCGGGGGCCACGATCCTCGTGAGGGGTGACAAAAAGTGACCCTCCCAGTGGCCGAAAAAGGACCTTCTGACACATCGGGCCCCCTCCCCCCAGAAAAACTTTGGGAGATGAGGGGGGGGTCCCTCCCCGAAGGTAAGAGGGGTCGTGGACGAGAAAGCAGACCCTCTTTCACCTGTCGCCCAGAGGGCTGGTGGGATTACAGGGCTTTCATGTGTTGCGCATTGAAGTGCGTGTCGGTGGCTTGGGCCGCTGATCTCTATTGCGTTGCGTTGAGCCTGTCCATCCTCCCTCATCCCCATCAACCCTCCTCCGCCTACCCCCGCTCCCTTTTTTCTTGCGCTTGAATGCGCGAGTCAAGGTGGTGGTACAAACAAAGAGCGAACGACGGCAGCACATGCAATCAAAAACACCAACACAACAACGCGAAAGCAACGCAACGCAGCTGAAGCCTCGCAGATCGCGCGCGCACGTAAGACACGTTAACCACGCTGCTTGTACTGCGCCAGGCGAGCGCGTTATGCTGATGACTTCAAAAACTGAATATGGCATCATAATCTGAAGATGCCACATCGATGGCAAAAATCTGAAGACAACAACCCCCAGGGAAAAGTGATGAAGCCATCTGGGAATTGCCCCGCCTGGTTTACAGTGATTCCGCAAAGCTTGCTGATGCCAATATGTTGTTGTGCACTGCGCTGAGACTGTTAGACGCCGCCCTCGAGCGCGGCCTTCCTTCTTCGCTCGAGAATCCCCGCCCCTCTCGCCTGCGGCCCGTTCCCGAGATCAAGTCAATTGCCGAATCGGCGAAGGCGGGGTTGGATCACGCTGATTTCTGTCAGCATCGTGTTCCGTGGCGCAGGGCAACTGCCTTCTTTCCGTTCAACTGGCCGCCTGGCCAGGCGGTGCTGAAGCAACGCGCGGGGGCGCAGCTCCGTTGCAGTGCTACAGGTAGGAGACATGTGATCTGGCGCTGAAGGGCAAAGATCCGAACGGAGCCTTTTGGACCACTAGAGCGCGCCCTTATCCAGTGGAGTTGTGTCAGACTCTGGCGCGCCTTTTTGTAGCAAACGCCTGGGCGGTTTTTGAAAGCGGGTAGGGTTTTGAGGTCTTGGATGTTGTTCTTTTGCTCCGTCGCTTTCGCAGCTCACGCTGCCGCGGCGCCCGCTCGCTCATTCCCTAGAGTCTGGCCGAAGCAGCGGCCGCATCAAACCATGGTTCATCGGACGCGCTTCGCGCCTTCATGTCCCTTGGCACGCGTTAGCTCCAGAGGTTCATATATATATATATATATATATATATATGTGTATATGTATATTATATATATATATATATATATATATACGAGAGAGAGAGAGAGAGCGTGATCCACCGCCGCTTTACTGTGAATTGCCAACCTTTTCCTCCGGAAACCGGGGGCCGCCCCCCCCCTCCGAAAATCCCCCCCCCCCCCTGCTGGAACCCCTCCCCCCCCCCCCCCCTTCTCCCCCGGCAAAACCCCCCCCCTCCCCTAACCCCTCCCCCCCCCCCTCCCCTCCCGCTCGAAAACCGGGGGGGTCACTACCGGTTCGAACCCCTCCCCCCCCCCCCCTCCGGATCCGGAAAACCGAGGGGGGTCACTACCGGTTCGAACCCCTCCCCCCCCCCCCCCCCTACCCTTCGGATCCGGAAAACCGGAGGGGGTCACTACCGGTTCGAACCCCCCCCCCCCCTCCCCCCTACTCACCGCCAGCAAACGACTCCCGGTCCCCACCACCGTCCGCATCACATCCCCCACTGGTGTTCCCAGCACCACTGTCCTCACCACCGCTGTCCCCACTGGTTCCACCACCGCCCCTACTGTCCCCACCAGTGCCCCACCACTGTCGCACTGTCCCCGCTGTCCCCAGAACTGTTCCCACCACGGTTCCACTCTCCCCACTGTCTCCACGGCCCCAACCACTGCCCGACTATCCCCACTGTCCCCACTGTCCCACTGACTCCTCCGCTGTCCCACTGAGCTGTCCCACTGTTCCCACCACTGTCCCCACTGTCCCCACCACTGTCCCCACTGTACCTTTGTCCCATTGTCCCACCGCCGTCCTCGCCACCGCCTTCACCACTGTCCCCACCACCATTGTACCCTCCACTGTCCCACTGTTTCCACCTCATTCCCATTGTCCCCACACCACTGTCCCCACCACCACCGTCACCACCACTGTCCACTGTCCCCCCCTGTTCCCACCATTGTCCCCACCACTGTCCCCACCACTACCGTCCCCACCACTGTCCCACTGTCCCACTGTCCCCACCACTGTCCCGCTATCCCCTCACCACTGTCCCCACCAACACCGTCCCCACCACTGTCCGCACCCCCACTCGGTTTTCGAGGGGGGGGGGGGGTTCGAACCGGTAGTGACCCCCCCGGTTTTCGAGGGGGGGGGAGGGGGGGGGGGAAGGGGTTCGAACCGGTAGTGACCCCCCCCCCCTTTTCATGATGAGCTGGGGGGGGGGGAGGGGTTCGAACCGGTAGTGACCCCCCCCGGTTTTCCGGAGGGGGGGGGGGGGGGGGGAGGGGCTCGAACCGGTAGTGACCCCCCCGGTTTTCCGCCAGCAGCGGTAGAACACGCTTTTTCACACATATATATATATATATATATATATATACATATACATATACATGTAGCATGTACAGATACATCTATTTACACATATATATGTATAGAAATGTGCACGTACATACATACATGCATACATACATACATACATGTACACATACGCACATATATATATATATATATGTATATATGTGTATACACAGACACTGCAAATAGGAATGTGGCCGCTTTCAAAGGCGAGTTGAGGGCCCTTTCAATTAAACTGAATCCGTTGTTTTCGACCCGAAGGCTGACGCAACCCCGCACGCAATCCCACGCCACTATATCGCCATGGCGGGTTAGCGCAGCGGGCTCGGGAGGAGGCCATGACCTATGCTCCCAACCGCCCCCAGAGCCCACGCAGTGAGGAAGGGGGGGTCGCAGCTGCAACCGCCACCTGCACGACAAATGCGGTTCCCACGGGCTCAGGGCAGGCCTTGCGAGTGCGGGAACGTTGGATTGGCGATCCGTGCCAAATTTGTTGTGGTTGCTCATTTTCGAGGTGACAGGGCGCCTAGATATGGCGACGGCCCATTGTGGACGAATTGCCGAAACTCGCGCAGAAAACGATGTTTTCCACCGAGCGCGGACACGGTGGCACGGGCGCAGCAGCTGGCCACTCCAGTTTTCGCCAAGGGCCAGGGCACCCAATGCCTCGCCAGCAGAGGGCGCCGCTGCGGTGCCGCCGCTGGGCGAATGGTTCATCCATGCTTGGTTGCATTGTTGGTGGGCGGTCAGGCTGCACATGCGAGAACAGTATTCGCCATAGCCTGTTATGAACATCAAGCGCGTGCTCGCTGGAGTCCAGGAGATGCTGCGGAACAGTCAGTCTATGGGCAGGCAAGCGAGGCGGCCGCTCATGGAACCAGGGGTCCCCTTCCACGCGCGCCGATACCGCAGCAGCCCGAGAACGACGCTTGACTGGATACGCCTGGGCGTCCACCGCGGCGGCGTGCAGGACGGTGCCCACGAAAACGTCGTACAGGGCCGTCTCTGCCGCCATTGCTGCACAGGTGTCGGCTCGCACGTTGCCGAACGTGCGGGACAGCTGCGTGCGGGACAAAGTCGGTTGCATGTCGTACTCCAAGTGCGACGCCGTCCACACCGCCTCGATTAGTCCGGTTTTGCCGTCGTTGCTTAACGAACGTGTTGCCACACATATATATATATATACACACATATATACATATATATAGACATATATATATGTAAATATAGATATACATATACATACACATATATATATATATATGCGTTGGCGCAATAGAGCGGCAGGAGGCTGCGACCGCTGGCCCAGCCTCTGACCGAGGCAAGGTGGTCGGTGACGAACCGAACGTCATTGTGAGCGCGCCCCAGCCCCAAATCAAGTGCCTAGATGTTTGCTCTTGGCACAGGACCTTGCTTACCTTTCAGCGGCGCCATCACGCCGCCGACAGGGCACCAATCGCGGCCCGAGGGCCGCGAGGGTGGAGCCAGCCTTTTCTGCGCCTCGGGTCGTCGCTGTACTTGCCGCCTGGGCCGTTGCCGATCGGGGGGGAACCTGGAGACGGGTTCACAACAAGCCTCGACACCATTGCCAAACGTCAATTCCTCCACAGCGTCGTCCGTCGCGTCGTCGTCGCCGTCCATCTCGTCATCGCCGACTACGGTGGACAGGCACAAGAGCGAGGAGGGAGGCCTCGAAACCACAGCGACAACGATAGTTTTTCTCAGCAGCGGCCGTCGGAGGGGAGAGGGGGCAGGAGGAAGGAATGAGGAGGGAGGAGGGGTGGAGGGAGGGGGGGGGCGGGGGAACAGGAGGAGGAGGAGGGAGGAGAAGGGAGGAAGATGGAACGGGGAAGGAGTGGGGAGGCTGGGGGAGGAAGAGGAGGAGGGAGGGGGCAGGATGAAGGAAGAGGCAAGAATAGGAGGACGGAGGAGGGAGGAGGAGGGAACGGGGAGGGACTGGGGAGGCCGGGGGAGGAAGAGGAGGAGGGAGGGGGGAGCTGGAAGAAGAGGAGGAGGAGGAGGACGAGGAGGACGAGCAGGAGGCCTTGGTCATCAGGGCGGCTCAACCGCGTCCGTGCGAGGAGTTCCTGAGTTGGATCTTCCAGATGTACGCGCCATACAGCGGCGGCCTGAGAGAGCGCCTCGGCGACATGAACCCCGCGCTGGCGGCATCCAGAGACGCAACGCCTCCTCCTTCTCCTTCTCCTTCTCCTCCTCCTATCCCTCTTCTCCCCCATCATCATCGACACCATCAGCATCATCAGCATCAGCATCATCATCATCATCAGCAGCAGCAGCAGCATCAGCATCAGCATCAGCAACATCATCATCACCAGCACCATCACCATCACCATCATCACCACCATCGTCACCACCATCACCACCATCATGACCACCACCATCAGCATCATCACCATCATCAGCAGCATCAGCATCAGCAGCATCATCATCATCAGCATCATCGTCAACATCATCATAATCATCATCATTATCATCATCAGGATCATCATCACCATCATCAGCAGCATCATCATCGTCATCGTCATCGTCATCATCACATCATCAGCATCATCAGCATCATCATCGTCGTCGTCATCATCATTATCACTCTCTCGCCTTCTCTCCTCCCCTCGTCCTCCTCATTATTCCGTTTCCTTCGTCTTCTCTTATTATTATTGTTCTTCTTTTTTTCTTCTTATTCTTCTTTCTCCTCCACTTCCAGCCGTTTTCTTTGTCGAGTCGCATTCTAGTTTCTAGTGGGCCCATCGAGGGTGGCCTCGACTTCGACAATTCATCGACACACTTCAGTTCGGGGGAGTTTCGACACCACGCCCCACCACCGACCCCTCTGAAGATCATGCGGTGCAGGCTTTTCTGGATAGAGCGTGCGCAGCTTGATTCAGGCACGACGGCTGGACGAAATAGCGACCGATGCCAGGAATTGCCCCGTCCAGATCCTACTCGGCACTCGCCTCAGGACCGTCGATACGGAGTCCATCCGAGTTCAGCGACGGGTAGCGGATCACGACTGCAATCATTTCGGTCACGGCAGGGGCCCCTTCACCAACCGCGCCGCGGGCGTCACCATCGGCGTGACTTCGGAGCCAGGTTGCACAGAGTGATTCCTGGCCCGCCCGCGGCCGCAGGCAGAGCGGGGGCCCTGCGGGTCATCACGGGCACGATCGACCACACCATCTTGGACGCGTACTTCCCGCCGCCGGGACCTCGGCCTGGCCAGGCCACTTGGCGGCGCACGATGGACGTTCTAATCGAATGGATTGGCGCGCAGCTGGATGCCGCTCCCCAGCGTTCCACGCCAGTGTTCTTGACGGACCTGAATGATTCCTTCGCCACCGGCGAGACGTCCAGCCTCTACGCGCGCAGTGGCCCTTTCGTGCAGCAGCGCACGGGCTACGAGGCCAGGGCGCCCAGGGAGCTGCTGCGCGCGCATAACTTGGCCTGCGCGACAACCTTCCACAATCTTGCGCCAACGCACAACGGTGAGAGCTCGGCGTCGTGGATCGACCATTTCGTGGTCCCGCGGGGTGCGCCCCCCACGGTGGACAAGGTCATCACCATGACCAAGGCTGCCAGGGCGTTGCAGCTGTTCCCCTCCCGCGGCTCGCGTCTAGACCAGTGGCCCGTCCTCCTTGAGATCGACGCGGGCGCCCCCAGCTTCCAGGTGCAGACACCTGGCCTGCGAGAGGATATCTTGCTGGAGGTCAACGGCGCCCTCTCGGTCGCGGCCCCGTCTCTCTTGGATTTTGTCGACCACGGCATGGCCGACGCAGGCTACGGGGTGCTGCTCGAGACTATCCAACCCATCGCGCGCGAGCAATTTGGCAGGGCACGGCGCGCCCCTGGCTCGGAGCTCGCTCGACGCTAACAGGCTGCACGCCAGCTCCGACTGCGATCGGGGCCGCACGAGCACTATGCGGCTTGCAGATCAGAGACCTCGCCAAACGCATCCGCTGGGAGGTCAGGAGATGGACCCGCTCTGCACGCAAGACATAGACTGGACGCCTCCACGAGGCCTGGCGCACGAGAGATTCAACAAGCGCCCAGTTTTCCTAGACGGCTAGCTGGCACAGGCATGAGGCCCAAGCGTCGCTCTGACCCGGCAGCGCGCAGACACGATGCATCGGCGGATGAACTCGCGCCCGCGCCGGGGCCCCCTGGGAACCGAGGGGGCTTCGCCGCCGCGCCAGTGAATGTAGATGCTTTTCTAGTTGCCATGGCCAGCCCAGCGCCGCACGGATTGGGGGATCGAGGCTCGGCGGGGGGGCTGAGGCTCAAGGACCTTCGCAGAGCTGCGCGGGTGCCCCGAAAGGCCTCTCGTCGCCGCGCCAGCACGCCCCCTGCCTGAAGAGAGATGACTCATGCTGCCCAAACCCAGGCATTGCAGCAAGCCGCCCCCTGCTCTCTTCGGCCTCGGCGCCACCCCTGCCCCCCCCCCCCATCCGAGGCGGGGTCCATTGAGTTGGCCTTGCGCGGTCGAGCCAAGCAGGCGGGTGGCGGGCAGGCCCCCCACGCGCGCGGGTGTCTCGGTTGGGTGGCAGACCCCAGGGCCGACGGCGTCGCCAGACTTTTGCGCGGCCTCTGTCCTTTCGTCCGCGCTGACGCTAGAGGGATTCACAATTCTGCGCCGCGCGGGGCGCCCGCTGAGCGCGACCGCGGATGCACCCCACGCCGCGGGCGCGAGAACGCCATCTTTGGCGCGCGCGCGTTGTCCGAGCAGCAGCGCAGCGCGCGCGCGCGCGTGGCGCGCTCGCTTGCGGTCGTCGCCGCTCGCGTGAATCGGTTGCCGGCTCGACGCGCCCCCGCGGACAGACGCCGACCTCCTCCGAGACCGGCGCGCCGCGCGCCTTGCATCTGGGCGGCGTTGACCGCCCCGCCACCCTGCATCATGCGAGCGGGGCCTTCGCGGGAGCTCCCAGTGCCCCGGGCGAGTTCCGCGAAGACTTCGCCAGACCCCTGGGAGAGTGGATTGGGCGGAATGTCGACCCCGCCCTCGCTGCCGCGCGCCCCGTCTTCTCTCGGGGGGCCCAGGCTGCCCGGGCTGGTCCGCGTAGGTCTGCGGGCGATCCGGCGCTTGTTCCGCCGCTTCGCGAGGGCCCCCTCGACGATGCTGCGCGGGCGACAAATTCGCGACGGATAATAGGAAATGCCCTGGATCGTTCTGGCTAGAAACAGAACGCTAAAAACAATTATCCCAGTGCGACCCTACCTGGGCGTTGGAGCATCTAGGAAAGCAACATCTACATCTACACCGACAACTACATTACCATCTACAAATGCATCCACATCTACATCAACATCAACATCGATATTCACATCTACATATACACCTACATCTACACCTACATCTACATCTACATCTACACCTACACCTACAGCCACATCTACACCTACAACTACATCTATCTACAGATACACTTTTGCATTGGTGTTGCTTTTGGTTTGCTTTGCCTCGCTTGCTGTTGCTGTTGCTTTTGCCTTGCTGTTGTGCTTGACATTGCTTGATGTTGTTTTGCTTTGCCTGTGCACAGACACGCACACACGCATGTGTTCGCATTCGCTCACCGGGTGGGCTTGCGAATGCTCCGTATCTAGTCTGCGTTATGCTAGGCGATGCTATGCTACGCTGCGCCATGATATGCTATGCTATGCTATGCTATGCTATGTTGCCCTCTGCTGTGCTGCGCTGTGCGGTGCTAGGCTATGCTATGATACGCTATGTTGCGCTATGCGATGCTATGCTATGTTATGCTGCGCTATGCTACGTTATGCGATGCGACGCTATGCTGCACTATGCTATGATATGGTATGCTATACTGCGCTGTGCTTTGCTATGCTCTGCTCTGCTGCGCTGTGTTATGCTAAGCGATGATATGAAATGCTATGCTATGCCGCGCTATGCTATGCTGTGCTATGCTATGCTGCGCTATGCTATGCCGCGCTATGCTATGATTTGCTATGGCATGCTATACTATACTATGCGAATGCTGCGCCGAGCCAAGCTAGGCTAAGCTAGGCTAGGCTAAACTAAGCTGAGCTAAGCTAAGCTAAGCTAAGCTAGGCTGAGCTAAGATGAGATAAGCAACGCTAAGCTAAGGGGGCGCAACTGGGGGAACCGCGGGGCGGATCCTGGGGGAACCGCCCGGGGCGAGGCACACTGCCCGGCCCTTTAAGCACACAGAGAAAGAAACCTTCTAGGCAGAGCCGAGGTAGGGAAAAACAAGCCGTGGCCCCTCGCCCCAGCGGATGCAGCGCCAGCCGTTCCTTTTACTCGGCCGAGGTTGGAGGCGCCAGAGTTGCCCCGCATGCGCGGTGCCTGGGGCAGTTTTTTTCTGCCCCCTGGAGATTTCCCCCCGCCGGCTCTTAAGTTGTAAACAGGCGGCCAACATGGGGTGGCTTACGTTCAAATATTTGCGGACCTCCGGGTCCCCATTTACGCGAGGAGGTTCGCGCTCATGCCCGTGGTTCAAGGTGCGCCGCTGTCTGGATGCACTCCGCACCTCCTCACCGAAACCGAACAAGCCCAACTCGATGTCGCGCTGCCGGGGAAGATGAGGCACGTCGCTGCGGGAGCCATGTAAAACCGAACTGGAGATCACCCTCATGTCATGGACCTCGAGGCAGGTCTGGAAGTGGATGATGATCGTTCCGACCGCGACGGGGCTTTCGATCCAGCGTTTGAGGCGGTGCCAAGAAATCGCCGCCAACGCCCAGGCCCTCGCGTTCATGTTCGGTCAGCTCGCTCCACCTTGGCCCAGGGTCGCCTGGCAGAGCGCGCCAGCCCGTTCGCCGTTCGCTTCGTCACGGACGCATGCAAGTTAGAGCTACTTACGAGTGGTGGGAGTCACGCAGAGGGGGGGGGGGGGGGGGGGGGGGCGCGCGCGCTCTATTTCACGATGGTTATGTTTCGTACCTGTTCGCCAATGCTGATGTCCTCCGCCCCGCGCAAGATATGGCAACGCGGCGACGCCCCTCTGGGCGCGATTGACTTGGGCCCGCAGCGCACCATACATAGAGAACAGCGGCGACGCTCTTGGGCCCGAGGAACGCATCTACACTTGCAACTGCACGACCTTCGGCGGCAATCTGCGCGGCGCTAGGCCCTTCACTCACACCGCTCTCGTGGCCCGCAAAACGCACGCCAAGG